AACCCGTTAGATTACCCTTGACCTTGAAGTTAAAACACCAATGGGTAATAAGAATATAATCAGTAGCTTAACTTATAATAATTGCGAATTCTGGATCGGAGGGCATAAAATACTAGTGGATCTAATCAGATTGGACATAAAAGGTTATGATGTTATTATAGGAATGAATTTTCTAACTCATCATCATGCTAAGCTTGATTGCAGAGCAAAAGTGTTAGAACTTTGGATTTCCGGACAAGCAACTTGGGAGTTAGAAGAAGAAATGCAGAAAAAGTATCCCGATTTGTTTCTCTAGAAAATGTGAATTTTGAGGACAAAATTCATTGTTAGGAGGGGAGGATGTGGGAACCTTGAATTTTGCAGATAACTACCAATGCATACTTCAATTTCATTTTTATCTAGTATTCGTATTCCTTAATCCCTTCTAGCATTACTTTCACTTGCTTTTAAATATCAGTGCATATTTCATTCGTAGTTCTTATTCTTTCATAAATTCTAGCATTATTTCATTTGTTTTAAATAAGTACGTAAAAATAATTTTCATGTGCAAAATAATATAATTGTGCTAAACTATTAAATTACTTAGCTTTGCTACACTAAATTAATAATTCTTGAGTTATATTAAGTTTATTCCTTAAAAATAAATCCCTTAAATTTCGATAGCTAATTTTATTTCCGAATAAGGTTAAGTGTAAATAGAAACCTTAGTATTAAGATGCAATCGATAAATTTTAGACAAAAACGATACAAGTATCCTAAGTATACTTAGGACGTAAGGATTTTGATAATTGAATCTTAGCAAGATTAGGATATTATTAGGTGTTTAAATCACGTTTGGGGTAAACTTTGAATTTGATTAGAACTAAGGACTCAAGGAGATAATTGGTGAAAATGTGAAATGACTAAACTACCCTTGAACTATTTCAAAAAAAAACACCATGCAACCACAAAACCCAATTTCGGACAATCCTTATAACTTCAACACCCTCGGCCGAATGAAAAACATTCTCCATTTCCACACTCAACCTCCATCACTACCGCGCACCATTTCACTCACCACCCTCTCACCTCGCACCACTACAAAACCGTACCTCACACTTCACCTCGTTATCATCGAAGAAAGGAAAGGAACCGCGAGCAACATTTCTGTTTCGTCCGAGAGTGAGAGCTAGTTCGTGCGAGCCGGAAATTTCGGAACTGACCAAGAGAGGGAAAGGAAGAAACAGTGCGGGAGCTTCCTTTCTCACCTTTTCTTCACCGCAACCAGCTGCACCTGTTTCCAGCAACAACACCACAGCTTCAACCAACCACAACCAGAACCAATTGTCGCGTGCGCAAGCCGAGAGCGAGAGAGGAGGAAATCTGATAGCATCTTCGTGCGTGAGCTGAGCACTTATCGGAGGTAATCTTTGAACTAGAATGAGTTGTTTAGGGGCTGACTAAGTTATTTAGGGACATGCATGTTAATTCTATGCCTTCGGATGATGAATTGAGGAAGGAAAATCTGATGTGCGATAGAATCGGCTTTGCCGAGAGGTTAATTAGGCAATGCAGTTTCACATTCGATTATTTGTGATCATCTGAGCATACGGTTGTGATTAGCTAAGTTGATAACACAATGATTAAAGTATGCATGCTGGATTGTGTGCTCGGATGAGGAATTAGGAGCTTCAGAAAAACCTGATTCAGTGAAAATGATTTCTGCCGTGAGCTTGAGATGAAAAATGCAGTTGTAATCTGCTTAATTTCGACAATCTGAGCATGAAATCGTCTTTAGCTAATTAAAACTTGGATGATTAAGCTGATTAGGGCGTTGCATGTTAATTTTGTGCAATCGGATGATGAATTAAGGAGCTGAGAAAATCTGTTTTGGTGAAATGAAAATTTCCGAGAACATGAATTGGAAATGTAGTTCTTAAACTATACTTGTATATTAACCATGAAAGTTTGGTTAAAATCCTGGACAAAGATCGTGTTACAAATCTTGTCTTTGAATACGGGTACATGTTAGAGATTTTGAATGTTTGAAATTTTGGACTATATTGCTGTAAGAAATAATTGTTGGATGCTAAGGGCTAATGATTGATGAAGCCCTGGTGGAATTGATTGTTTGAATTGTGATTTTTCTATATCGGCTTGGTCTGAACTTGCGTGAAAAAGTTGAACATAAATTGAAGAGATTACTTGAGGAAAAATGTGTATTTGGTTGAGCATCCGATCAGTTTTCCTTCGAGTTATAGCTGAAACTTTCATACGAGATGATCAAGATTATCTTGTAGCTTGCTAGTCACCTTTTTGCTTGTCAAGTCGAAGTAAAAACAGAAGAAAATTACGGACAAAGCACTATAAGTTAAACCGTTATATTGCTGGAATTTTTCTTGACTATTGAATCAAGGGAGAAATTAGAGTCTCTACGACGTTTCGAGATTCTAGGATTAATGGTTGAAGTTACACATATATATACACCACGGTTATAGTCTCTCGCTTTTATTTGGGATACTTTAAAGAACTCAAAACGTGAAACGCTAGAGAAGTAGAATAAATAAAAATAATAAGCAAAACTAAAGTCTAGTAAGTTACAAAGGATAATGGGGTATTCATAAGTTATACTAAATAATCGACTGGGCAAGTATATTAACTGGAATGTTGCACAAGCTATAAACGTGAAGATAGGTAGGTTTGAGGATAACAATAATAATGATAACAATAAAGTTAACAAGCTCCAAAAGTAAAATGTTGAATAGAAACTGAAAGTGTTATATTGATATTCAAAAGGTCACACTTGATTTTAATAATTTTGTCATAATACTAAGCTATAGAGATTGAGCTTAATACGATAATGCTAAAATTCGAGTGTCGGTACTTTTAAAACCCTTGTGGTTTAGTTGATGGAACTGCTTGGAGGCCTTGCATTTATTTTGTTTAAATGTGATCTGAAATGAATTTGTGGAATGCTAGGGCTAATGATTGACGAAGCCCTAGTGAGATTTCTGTTTGAAATGTTATTTTTGCTATGATGGCCAATTAAGATTTAATGTGCTTGAGTATCGGAATAAGAAATCCGTTTTGGTCCATGAATTGGAGCAAGTTTCAAACAAGCTATTTAAATATATCTTCGCGCTAGTATGGAGCGATAACACTTAGTATTGTACGATATCGCTAGAAAATTTTGTGTAGGGATTTTCTAAAACTTTGCCGACTCGATATTTTCTTCCTTTAGTTTAAACTAGCTCTAATGTTTTTAGAAAATAATTTCACTAGTTTTTAAAACCCTAAGTCTTACTTTATTCCCTTTTCTTTTCTTAAAAATTTGTTTCCACCTAGTGTCTGGGGAAAAACTTGTTCGGTAAGAAACTTATTCAAGTAAAGTAGTTTTAGTTGCATGTTGAGAAAGAAAAATATTTTACTACCTTTACCAGTTTTAATATTAAGTGGATGGTCGACTTATCTCGAGAAAAAAATACACTAGTCATATATTAGGTAATCTTTTACACTCACAAACCCAGAACTTGAACAGAAAACTTATAATTTTAAAACTTGAATTTTCTAGGGTTTAGCGAGGAAGCGGATTTTGACTCCCAGCTTGACCTGTAACTTCACTCTTGGTGAGTGTCCCTGCCTGTTTTATGACTATTTGGTTAAAGTGCTTTATCGACTCGTTATGTGATAATTGCCAAAAATGATTGCTGATCCATCGAAGTGAGCAGTGTGTACTTTGTCACACTAGCCTTTCGGGTGGTGACTTGATTGAAGTGTTTTCCGTGAATATCTTGCTTGCGCTTGCTAAGTGCTAAACTACTAGGCAGGGGAATGTACCACACCTTAAGGGTGGGAGGGCCTCTTATCCTGACCTGGTAATCAAGTGTTGTACGTAAAGTCGTTGGGTGAATCCCTCGACCAGTCTATAAAAATCTAGTGTTGGACGTAAAGTCGTTGGGTGAATCCCTCGACCAGTCTATAAAAATCAAGTGTTGGACGTAAAGTCGTTGGGTGAACCCCTCGACCAGTCTATAAAAATCAAGTGTTGGACGTAAAGTCGTTGGCTGAGTCCCTCGACCAGTCTATAAGTGTTGGACGTAACATCGTTGGGTGAATCCCTCGACCAGTCTAAGGTATACTCGAGTATTATCGCTTCCCTATTTGTTTACTTCAGTCGAATCAATACGTGTTAGTTGTTTTAATTGATTGCATGTTTTTGGGGCACCACTGAGCTTTAGCTCACCCCACGTTCATTTGTTTTCCTTACAGGTCTTGAAGTTTGAGAGAATTTGAACTGCTTATATTTTCTGTGAATGTAATTGGACGATTTAAATTGAATTTGCGGTTTGTAATGAATTCCAAATTAAACAAGGTAGTCTTGTTTTGGGTTGCCGCTTGAAGCTGGAAAATGTGTAAACCCTAATTCTGTCATTTGGCTGGTATGTATATATTTTTGTTGTGTGAAATTATATGTATTTGGGATGGTATGACTTTAATCCTTGTAAGTAACGCGTGAAGTGTTTAAGAGCCGTCGATTGGCTATCTTCAGATGCTGTTATCGCTGAAGTTAATGTGTCTTTAGCAACTGGTCTATCTTGGGAGATTCGTTGTTGTAATAGCTTAGGTTATTCACTGAAAAGATTCGGGTTAGACTGCTTGCGTGAGTCTTGGCGAGAGCTAGGCAGACGGCTGCCAACCCTCTGGTTCGCCTTAGGGGGAATTGGGGTCGCCACAGCGCATGTCTGCCACTAGAGCACGAGGTTGCTATCCACCAGGGGGAAATTAATTCTAATAAAGTATGTCTTGAATTTGATGCCGTTGTATCTGCTGCAAGTACTTAAACCCCCTAAGGCAGTCTTAGTTACGTTGGGGAGAATATTTAACTCCTTCTTATGGGACAAAGCACAAGACTCTAAACGAATACACTGGGCATCTTGGGAGAAGATGTGCTTCCCAACAAAGGAGAGTGGACTGGGGGTGAGGTCGTTGGAAGACATGGTCAAAGCCTTCTCTTATAAGTTATGGTGGAGACTGCATCAGAGAGGATCCATCTAGTCGGACTTTATCTCTCTAAGTATATCGGAGACCAGCACCCACTTCAAGTAGAGGTAACCAGACCGAAGGGTACATGGAAGTGGCTAATTGGTATACGGAAGATGGCTGAGGCTCACATTTCGTGGAGTCTGGGACCGGGTATGGTGGACTTCTGGCTTGACACTTTGTGTGAGCTTGGATCCCTCCGTACATTGGTGCCGGCGGATAGGGACAGCCCTCAGTTTTTGGTAGCAGAGTTCTTGGGATGGGAAGGGTGGAACAGGGACCGTTTCTTGCAATGCCTTCCGGATCACCTGGTTGATTCGATTGTGGATATCCCTTTCGACCTGGAGGGGCAGGATCGGATCATGTGGGCACGGTCAGCGTAGGGGTGTTTTTCGCTAAGCTCAGCTTGGGAGCTATGTCAGCAACGTAAAGGCGGTTTCTCGATGCATGGTATGGTCTGAAATAGGGGTGTCCCGCTGAAGATGTCTATTTTTGCTTGGAGACTGTTAAGGAACTGTGTCCCCTTGGATTCGGTGCTCCGTCGGAGAGGGCTACCCTTGGTGTCCAGATGCTCCTGCTGTCTCAAGGACGAGGAATCAATACTCCACTTGTTTGTCAATGGCCCGGTGGCACGGGAGGTTTGGGGGCATTTTGGTAATAGAGTTGGCATACTTCACTTGCTGCTTGAGGATCTTCAGATACTGTGGATGAAATGGGCCACGTCACTGCCTCGCCTCCCTGCACATCATATCAGATGTATCCTTCCGATATTGATATCTTGGTTCATCTAGCAGGGGCGAAATAAGGTGAGGTTCGAAGGACAAGCCTTGTCAGCTAGGAGGGTGATTCGAGAAGTGGTTAACTTCATACATGACTTGGGACGAGCATGGAAACTTGAGAAGGCACAGTTCTATAGGGACCTGGATAGTGATTGGGCGAGCTTGGCTAGTTCGGTGGCTCGTAAACGGCAGGCAGTGGTAGTCACATGGACTAAACCTCCAGCTCAGCGATACAAATTAAACACAGATGCTAGCGTGGTCAACGAAAGGGCTAGTGGAGGAGGGTTATTGCGTGACTCAGATGGTAGGCTTATATTCGCTTTTTATAAGGAGTTTGGGGAGAAGGGGGTCCTCCAGGCTGAGGCGCTGGCACTACTGGAAGGGTTGCGAGCGTGCGCGGCAAAGGGGGTACAGGAAGTGTTGATGGAGGTGGACTCTGCGGTTCTTGTGCCACTAGTCAAATCATTGGCTCTGGGAGGTTGGTCACACTGTAATTTGCTGAGACGGATTCGTCGACTTCTGGATCAGGTGTCTGTTTCATTTATCCACATCTTCCGTGAGGCAAATATGGTTGTAGACAGGTTAGCGGCTCTGCAAGGGTGTCCTAGTATGGTCTTTGACTCTGTTCAGCAGCTATCGAGGGAGATTTGCGGCTGCTTGGCTATGGATGCTAGGGAATTCCCATCCCTTAGACTAGTGCCTTGTTAGTTGGTAGGCTCTGTCAGTGTATTCTCTATACCTATTTTATCCTCCTCTCGTTGCCTTAGAATAAATAAAAGGGCCTATATTTCTGAAAAAAATAATAATTTTAGGGTGATTTTGCATTATGGTGGTAAAACTTCTCCATTTTGCCGCCCAACCCCACAATCTCCTCCCTTCTCTTCTTCCCACTCCTCTCTACCTTCCTTTCCTCTTCTCCAACTTTCTCTCCACCCTATCACCCGCCAACCTCCTCTTGTCCTCTCTTTTCATCCCTCATCCTTTTATTTTTTCCTCTTTTGCGTCCACCATGGACCAACCACCCCTTCCTTTCTCTTCCTCCTCCCTCTTATTCCTTTCTCATCTAGACCAGATCAAGCAAGAGCAATGGCTACAGAGAAAAATGGGGAGAGAGAGAGAGAGAGGGTAGGAATAAAGGATAAAAGGAAAAAGGCACGAAGTGTTATTAAACTTTGAACAGTTTGACTGATTTGACCAGTTTAACAAAAAATTGGCAAGACCACTATCCGAATTAATACTAGAATAAGGCAAATAATAAATTAATCATTTGCATTTATCAAGAATAAGATATATAAGACTGCATTATATGACTCGACCCAAACCCTATCTGAACCAAGAATCGATGAAAACCCTAGCTGGTTTTATAAATCATTTTTAAAGCTTTTTTCTTATATTAGCTTTATTTTTATGGTTTTCACCACCTTGCTGACATATGATATGCATTTCAGATGTCTTTTCTTAAATGGAAAAATACAATTTCAACTAAATTAAATCTACTCCATGTGTTATGTGAGTAATAGTACCCGTTCCAAATTTAGTACCATAACGGTTTTAGAAATTCTTATTTCAAAATTCAAAAGTCACATGAAGAGTAATTGTTATGTGAGAAAGAATATGAGAAATGGTATGAAATGCATGTGGATAGTTAGGCATAATGCTAACTCTCAAGAACCCAAAAAGTAAAGGGTACCAAATATTATCTTGTGAACTTTTGTATAGGTGAACTTGGTGAATATTATCAAGGAATCAAAATGATCCATAGATAGTGGATGCTCAAGGCATATGACTGGTGATCCATCACAATTCATCAAGCTCAAGTCAAAAGCAAGCGGAAAAGTAACTTTTGGAGACAATAACAAAGCCAAAACTGTTGGAATTTGTGATGTTGATAAGAATGGTCAAACCTTTGCTCACAATGTTCTTTTAGTTGACAATCTGAGCTATAACTTGTTAAACGTTAGTCAATTGTGTGATATAAATCTGTTTGTGTTATTTAAAAAGTATGAACGTCTTGTTCTTGACTCAAAATTCAACACTATCTTCAAAGGAAAAATAATTAATGAAATTTATGTAATTATTCTGGAAAATATTGATTCTTCTAGTTTTAAATGTCTTAAAGTTGCAAATAAAGACCCTTGGTTGTGGCATAGAAGGTTTTGTCATTTCAACATGGATTTGCTAAAAGAGATTTTCAAAAAGGAACTTGTTAGAGGGTTGCCAAAAATCAAATTTGAAAAGGATAAAATCTGTGATGCTTGTCAATTTAAAAAACAAGTCAAAGTTTCTTTTAAACCCAAGAAATGTGTTTCTACCACAAAAACTTTGAAACTTTTACATCTTGATTTATTTGATCCTACACAAACTACTATTTTAGGTGGCAAAAGATATTGTGTTATTGTTATTGATGATTATTCTAGATACACTTGGGTGATGTTTCTTGTACACAAAGATGATGCTTTCAAAAACTTTGTTTCATTATTTGTAAAGGTTCAAAATCTGATTGGGTTGAAAATCATCAATTTCAGAAGTGACAATGGCTCAGAATTTCATTTTTGTGGCTTTCCAGAATTTTGTGATAACAATGGAATTGCACATGAATTTTCAATTGCAAGAGTTTCCCAACAAAATGGGGTTGTTGAAAGAAAGAATAGAACACTTCAAGAGGCTGCTAGAACCTTGTTAAGTGAGTGCAATTTGCCAAAATATTTTTGGGTTGAAACCATAAATACAACTTGCTATACTATAAATAGAATTCTTTTAAGACCAATCTTGAACAAAACCTCTTCTGAGTTGATGTTTGATAAAAAGCCTGTTGTTGGATATTTCAAAGTTTTTGGTTGCAAATATTTCATTTTAAACATCAAGAAACATCTTGGTAAGTTCGATAAAAAATCTGATGAAGGAATTTTCTTGGGGTATTGTAAGAATAAGAGAGGTTTTAGAGTTTACAATCAAAGGACTCTGGTTATAGAGGAAGCTATACATATTACTTTTGATGAATCTAATGGTGATTTTCCAAAAGTTGTGGTGAAGATGATGATGTAGGTGTTCAAGAAGGACTAAAGAAACTCACAATCAATGACCAAGACACTACTTCACCGGAAAATGACTCAAAGGAAGATGATTCTCAAGACAGTCCAGCACTGGAAGACAATGACAGAGATGTTAGTACACCTACCGATCTTCCAAGAGCCTGAAAATTTGTTCAAAAACATCCTAAGGAGCTCATCATTGGTGATCCATCTGAGAAGGTCAGAACTCGTTCCTCCTCTAAACAATTGATGGATAATTTTGTATTAGTCTCACATTTTGAACCCAAAAATGTTGTTGATGCCTTGAAAGATGAGAACTGAATTTTAGCTATGAAAGAGGAGCTAAATCAATTTGAAAGGACACAAGGTTTGGACATTAGTTGAAAGATCTCAAGATCATCCTATTATTGGCACAAAATAGGTTTTCAGAAACAAAATGAATGATAAAGGTGAGGTAGTAAGGAATAAGGCCAGACTTGTAGGTAAGGGATATGCTCAAGAAGAAGGAATAGATTTTGATGAAATATTTGCACCCGTAGCTAGGCTAGAATCAATTAGGATGTTTTTAGCCTTTGCATGTTTCAAAAATTTTAAATTATTTCAAATGGATGTTAAAAGTGCTTTCTTAAATGGCTTTATTGATCAAGAAGTATATGTTGGTCAACCTCCTAGTTTGGAAAATGAGATTTATCCTAATCATGTGTTTAAATTCTCAAAAGTTTTGTATGGATTAAAACAAACTCCAAGGGCATGGTATGAACGGTAAAGTGATTTTTTGATTGAAAATGGTTTTAAAAGAGGCATTGTAAATACTACTCTTTTCACTAAACAAAGTTCAAGTGATCTTTTAATTGTGCAAATATATGTGGATAATATTATATTTGGTGTTACTAATGAGAGCCTGTGCAAGGATTTTTCCACAATTATGCAAAAAGAGTTTGAGATGAGCATGATGGGAGAATTAAATTTCTTCCTTGGACTCCAAGTGGTTCAAACCCGAGAAGGAACGTTCATTAATCAAGCAAAATACACCAAGGAGCTGCTCAAAAGGTTTGGAATGGAAGATTCAAAGCAAGTTGGAACACCTATGTGCACATCTACCAAGTTTGATAAGGATGAAGAAGGTACAAAAGTTGATGAAAAGAAATATAGAGGTATGATTGGTAGTTTACTTTACTTAACTGCTAGTAGACCTGATATCATGTTTGTTGTATGCTTGTGTGCTCGTTTTCAGTCTTGTCCAAAAGAATCTCACTTGAATGCGGTAAAAAGAATTCTTAGATATCTAAAAGAAACCTTGAAATTTTGACCTATGGTATCCTAAGTGTCATGAATTTCCTTTATGTGGATTCTTGGATGCTGATTTTGGTGGTTGTAGGATAGATAGAAAAAGTATAACAGGTATATGTAACTTTCTTCAAAAATTGCCTAGTATCTTGGTTTAGCAAGAAACAAAATGCTATTCCGTTGTCTACAACCGAAGCGAAATATGTTGCCGCCGGAGCTTGTTGTGCTCAATTATTGTGGATGAAAAATACATTGAATGATTTTGGATTAATGTATAATTGTGTGCCTATGTATTGTGATAACACTAGTGCCATAAATTTGACAAAAAATTTCATTCAACATTCTAGGATAAAGCACATAGACATAAAGCATCATTTCATTCGCGATCTTGTCTATAAGGGTGAAATTTGTGTTCAAAAGATCAAATTGCTGATATTCTCACAAAAGCCTTACCACTAGATCAATTTGTGTCCTTTAGAACAAAATTGGGCTTCTCAGAAAAAATATTCTAAAAATTCTCTGTTCACTCTTTATCGGACGTCTGATGTGTTAAAACGGACGTCCGACAGTGTTCTTGATCTGTTTTCCAGAAAGTTCAGGCTCGGACGGTCGTGTCGGATGATTTGTGAGAACCCGTAAATTTTCGTATTTTCTAGGGTTTTATTTTATTTAATCGCACGTTTTTCTGTAATTTCTTTATTAGGAAATTTTATAACTCGTTTTATGAGTAAATAGGGTTTTAAATCATTTTTCTAGTATAAGTTAATTCATGAGATTTTAGAAGTGTATACCGGGCGTGGGACCCGCTAGTGCGGAAAGTTCGGTAAAATTCGGCTAGTTAGGTTAAGTTTCGTATACCGGGATTAATTTAGCAGGTGTTAAGAGATAACTAGAGATTACTAGATGAATTGGTGTGAGAGGTACAAAAGGATAACCATGTATTAAATGAAAGTGACAAGTGTCACTTGGAGATTAAGTATTACTTTTTGACCACTATTCACTCTTTTACCATTTTACCAAATAAATCAAAAATTGACCAAAAATCTCTTCATTTCCAAGCTTCTTGTGGCCGGCCATCTTCAAGGAAAAAGAAAGGAAAACCTCTCCAAATTTCTAGCTCCAATCTTGTTCAATCTTCAATTCCAACCGTTTAATCTTGTATTTGCTCCATAAAAACCCTTAAGTGAGTGGTTATGAGGTGATTAGTGAAGTGGTTTGGAGGATTAAGGTGCTAAGTTGCTCCTTTTCTTGGGTTGTGAAGGTGAGTAACTAAGGGACCTTTCTTTCTTCTCAATAATGTTTGATTATTGACTTATGTGAGATGAAGTGATGGATTAAGGTGTTGTTTCATGACTTTTGGTGGAATTTGGTGCATTTTTCTATTTAATC